AACCCATCCATGGTATCAAAATGTCGAGGGGAGCTATCCAGTTTCCGAGACCCACGGGAAGACGGGGTTCCTCATGAATATTAGCAGATAGAGTTTAGGATTTACTTCATGTTTTAGTAGCTGGTTTTGTTATCGTTCTTTTATCTGTTTTGCTACTATCAAATGCGTATATATATAAATTAGGGAGGGCAACAAAACGAGTTTCTAATTCGACGTATTCTTAATAAAATCCAACTTGATTTCGACTCAAATTTAAATATAAATTTCCCATTTTAAATTTAAGGGTAAACTACATAAATGGTCACCAAACTTTTAGGACACTTGTATTTTGGTCACCTAACTTTTAAAACTTACAATACATTCACTGTTAGTTTTATCTTATGTGGCACATTACTGTTATTTTTCAGCTTAATAAAATAATCCTTTTAACCCATTTCATCTTAATTAAAAATTATCCTCACCCAAAATTGACTAAAATCCCTAAAATTCAAATTGGGACTAAAATCCAAAATCAATTACAACTCAATCTATTTTTTTAACCCTATTGAGACTAAAATCACATTCAAAATAACAAATATAGTAATTCCAGAATATTAAAAATCCCTCAATTTTAGATTCCAAAATATTTAAACAAACTTCAAATAATTGGGTAACACATGAATCAAAACAAAAATAAATTTTCCAAATACATCAGAAATAACAATTTATCGTTCGCCACACTTGAGCAAACCTTCGATCGAGTAATTCTCTCCCTTGTTTTCATTCAGCAACAGTCAATAATCTAGAAAAAGAAAAAAAAACCTAAACTAGAAAACCCAAATTAAACCTAATTTATCTAAGTCATTTGATTGGTGAAAGAGTTTTAAACCCTTTTAATTTTTCCCAAATTTTATACGGAGTCGTTTGGGAATGTTTTTTTTATTATTAAGCTAAAAAATAAAAGTAACATGCCACATCATATAAAAGTAACGGGAGGAAACGTCAGAGACCTGATTGAAAACGAACTAAAAGTTTGGTGATTGTATTGTAAGTTTTAAAAGTTGAGTGACCAAAATGAAAGTGTCCTAAAAGTTCGGTAGCCATTTATATAGTTTACCCTAATTTTAATTAAAAAGTTTGATTAAAAATTCGACTAGGATCCAATCATATTTAACATAATTTTTAATTTTTTTATCAAAATAAAAATTGATTGAATAAATTACTCATTTATTTAATTTAATAATATAAAATTACCGTAAAACTTAATTTTGATGTTATAATTTAGTACGTTATAGGTTATTTTTTAAATATATTTTTATCAAGAATCTAACTAATAATATATAAAAATATAAAACCATATTTTTATAACTATCTCGAGTTGAGACGATGCGTAATCTCCCTAAATCCAAATCCGACCCGACCGATTTAAGAAAAATCCAATTTACTATAAATTTCAAACTTCATAAAAAATTTGACACTATCAAGTTAAAAACTTTCAGGTAGACATATACTTTTTTCCATTCCTAGTATCAATTTATTTGATTATGACTATATATTGAAAACTGATTATTTATGTTGATGAGTGTGGGATTAAATTGAATAAATACCCTATCTAAGAATGAATATATTATATATATATATATATATATGTTGAAAAGTGACTATTTATGTTGATGAATGTGTGATTAAATTGAATAAATATCCGATCTAAGAATGAAAATAGATTATAGCATACTGTTCATGTCTCACCATGAACCCTAAAAGATCAAGAGCAACTTATAAGATATAGAGAAAACTGTTTGGAACAGTGAAGAGAACGTATTCTCTGTTAATTTTCTTATTGAAAATAAGAACATAGATTAGGTCTTATATTTGTAAATTTACAATAGGTATATAACTCTAACTTGGAGTCCTATTAAAAGTTAACTTTACCTAATTAATATTCTATCTAACTGTATTTATAGACATGCTTATGTGATGAATACATGTAATATAACATAATTATTAAATTCGTTTGTTTAACGTATGAAATGTGTTATCGTTCGTAAATTACTAAAAACGTATTAAGGAGAATTATCACCGAGTCAGAGCTTCGGGCTATTGTTTTTGTCAGAGAACATATTTGATATACGTAGCAGGCATGTATATTTACCTCTATTGATTACTGGCAATTCGTTGTAATCACTGTTATAAAATTGGGTTGGATCGAGATTTCGAAAACTTGTATTGATTAGAGTGTAGTATATGGATCAAGTAGTTAGAGCTTTCTAGCATGAGTTTGTATAGTATAGTATTGTATATTTTATTTTTATTATGTGCACTGATTCTGAAAAGTGGTTATGTGGATTTTTATTTTATTAGAATGATGAATGTGTAAATATTGCCTTTTATATTGTTTAATTGTTCATTTTTAGACCTTATTGAGTTTTAATGTTCACTCCTATATTTTATTTTCTCCTTTCAGATAATATTAGATGTGAAGAATTAATCTCTTGAAGTTCGTATAATTTTCATAATAAACTTTTATCCCATATTTATTTACTTATTTGGATTGTGGCATGGGATAATAGAATGTTCATATAGTTTTTTTTGGTAAAACCACATCATTTATCTTACTTTATTTATGTTAAACCAATAACTAAACTAGTAATTTATTTTGAGGTAATTCTAGTTTTTTTATTAAGCTAAAGGTAGTTATAAAGTAGTATTTGTTCTAAGTACTTTCAACCATTTGAAAATGAACGCTCAATCATCCTTGCAGTCATTGGTGCTCGAACCAAAAACCTCTATGAACAACAACGATTTCTTTAATCACTAAAGTAAGTTAGTTAGTACAATTATAGTTTTTATTTGAAACTTCATATTTGGTAACTACATGTTTGTATGTTTTTGATGAGTATGATGAGACTTATACTATGGACATGTAGTTTTGTAAAATAATCGAGGATGAAGAGTTTTAACTTTTTTTAAGTTTCTAATTTGTAATCATTGTCACTTCGATTGTTAATGTAATCATTTAGTTTTGATTATAATATCAATACCAAATTTAGGAAGTTAGATTGTGAAGTTTTTTTTTATCATTAAAGTTTCAAAAGTTATATTATAATCATTAATATTATTCATTTATAACGAAATAGTTACTAACATTATTAATTTATCATAAAATAGTAATTCTATTGTTAGCTCGTGTTAAATTGATGAGGTGTCACATTAATAATAATGGTTGATATCTAATTTTATCCATATAATATATTTAAAACATCATTTTCTTCGTTAACAAAATTTTAATTGTAACTAAATAAATATATATACAATAATTTATCGAGGTTTTCAATGGAACACGCTTATTCATTGCAATTCATCTCATTGTCTACCACCAGGGACGAAGCTCCCTCAGAGCCCAAGGGGGCCTCGACCTTGTTAAAATTTATATAATAGATATAATTTTGGTTTAATAGTATTTTGGTTCATATAAAAATATATATTTATATTTAAAAATATAAAAATTTATTAAATATTTAATCAAGTAGGGGTCGGACTAAAGAATGATAAGTTTGTGTTCTCATATTTTTGGTCTAATTACAATTTAAGTCATTGTAAGTTTAAATATTAGACAAATTAGAAGTTGTCTTTTGAGTTTTGAGTTTTTTTTTAATTTAGGGTGAATATATGTACAAAGACTTTTAACTATTTGACAATGAACGCTCATACCCCTACATGCGTGCTTGAACTCATGACCTCAAGGATAACAACAATCCCTTAATCACTAAGATCGTTTGGTTCATGTTGAATTTCGAGTTTAAATACCTAATAAGTCTTTATATTTTTATTAAATAGTCTAATATTTCGGCCCCTGCCAATATTTAATTCTGGCTCCGTCCTTGTCTACCACAATTACCTCCGATTGGATTTAAAGTCAAGTTACTCACTCAAGCTCTTGTTAATCCTTCCTGTGGGTGGATTTGATCACATTCAATATTGTTGTTATTGTTATTTAAAAAACCCAATCTAAAATAAAAAAATCAAAGAAGATGAATCGGAACAAAAAGATAAAAGGAGAAAAATAAACGAAAATATAATTACAATCACCATCTAATTTCAATCATACTGTGAACCAATCTTGAGAAATTTATAGATGAGAAATGGGTGGTGGGTATTGTTTGAACTGGTAACTAAATCAGAATTCGAGTCTAAAGAATAAGAAGTTTCGAACAATAACTAAAAGAAGCAATATAATCGAAGGATTAAATTACAATAAGAAGTCAGTTTCGAAAATTAATGCTACGAAGTGATCATTTTGTAATATTTCAATAACATTAATGATGATCATATTGTAACTTTTGAAATTTCCATGGTTAAAAAGAAAAGTTATACAAAGATTAATGAGTATGGGTGTAGTTTAGCCAATAACTTTATACATTCATCCGTGATATTCTGAATCCTAATTTTTAAAACTTCAATAATAAATTTAGATTTGTAGCATAAGGCCCTAATTATAATTTCTAAGAAAATAAATTCCAATTTTGAGAAGCACCCACTGGAATCCAAGTTGGATACAGTTTAGTTGAACAAGTCAACTACTACAAGGTTTTAACTTTTAAAATTGTTCTCTTATGATCAAACAGTGAATATTTAATCTAGTAGTTAAAGGGTTGTTTTCATCATTTTCATAAAAATGACCAATAATTCATAATTAATTAAATAAACAATAATAAAACCAATGATCTCTTGCCTTTACTATGGGTTGCCCGCAACCTTTAATCTACTTTTTGTAACTATGCCCCACAGCCACAAGTGTAACAATCAGTGTCTCATCCAATTTTCTTATGATATTTTATACTAATTTCTTTTAATCAAATTAATAATTATGTTTAATACGTCAATATTATGGTGATGTTCTATTTTTTTACTTAGACACTAGTATATCATGAGAAATTCAATTACGGTGATATTATAATAATAATTTCTCAAACATAAAAGGTAAAAAACCATGCATATATGCTCAGATATTAAAAAACATGATGCCACAACTTTAAATACACTGGCAAAGTCTCTTTCTAGCTAAATGTCTTGACTCTTCTCCTCTTTCAAAATGAAGCTTCATGCAATGGAGGCCTTTGGGAGAAGCCAAGGGCAGCCAAAAACAGCTAAAATTGTCCTAATAGTAATCTTTGTCACCCTAGTTTTTCTCACAATAATCCCTGCATTTTACCCTCTCCTAGGGTATCCTCTATACCTCTTAAAAGCTTCATCTCCCAAGCCCTCACCTGCCACCGCATTCGACTCTCGAGAAGGCGAACTCCGGTCTTCGATAAGGATATCCGAAGGAGAGGACTGCGACATATTCTCGGGCGAATGGGTACCGAATCACAACGCGCCGTACTACACGAACACGACGTGCTGGGCGATACACGAGCATCAGAATTGCATGAAATACGGAAGGCCCGATACCGAGTTCATGAAATGGAAATGGAAACCTGATGGGTGTGAGCTCCCTGTTTTGAACCCAGCTCAGTTCCTGGAAATCGTTAGGGGAAAATCTCTGGCCTTTGTTGGTGACTCTGTGGGTAGAAACCAGATGCAGTCCTTGATATGCCTCCTTTCAAGAGTTAGTCACTTACATTTGTTTCCCATCTATATTTTACTACTTATGTGATAATTACGTATTATGGATTTATATTTAATAACTATATATAAATCACTTTACGTTAAAAAATAATTAATAACATAAGTGACAAGTTCAAAAATATTTATGCACGCAGGTGAGTATATATATACTGTTTGTGGGCACCTAAAAAAGAATAATTTATCGATGGATAGACACAAATATAATTTAATGATGAACACAATCAATAAATGAATAGTTGATATGAAAAAAATTCAGATTTCAAAATGAATTTGTTCAGATCTGTCACTGTATAATATTTTTAATCCATACAATATTGGTGCATGGAAAATAAACCCCGGACAAACAATATACATGCACTATTATTTCATATAAGGTGATAAAAAAAGCTAATTAAAAGGATTGTCATGGATTTTGTTTATATTAATTTTAAATCTTCATGTATTGATTATTGAATTAAAAATATAATATTCTATTCTAATTTTCTTGCTTTGCAAATGTTTGCATGCATGCTTGTGAAGCAAAATTGCTAAAATGATTACATATATTTGTTGAAAATCTATCCTTAGATTTAATATTAGAGTAGATACATCAAGTATATTTTTATGAAAAAAATATTTTAAATAATAAAATAATTTCAGGTGGTCCTAAACAGTTGTCCAATCAATTTTAGTTAGTAGCAAGGTTAGTTTACCTAAGCCAATATGTAAAATCAAAGATTAGGTGAAATTATGGGGTGGAATCTTTAGGAACACAGTTGTTCAATTATTAGTTCACATAATTAAAAAGCATCTTAAAAGATATGACAGCTCGAAAATAAAATCAAAAGGTGTAAATATTGGATTTCATAATGTTTTAATATTTTTTTTCTTTAAAAAAAACTATACGTACAGAAAAAAATCATATTCTTTAAAATTATTCACCTAGATACTAACAAAAACATAATGACAAAAGAAGAAAAAGAAGAAGCTAATAATGAAGAGAATTTGAATTTTCAGTATTCTTTAAATCATCACTTTTGCTACTGTAGTGTGACTTAAATGAAGTTATTTAAAAATAATGATGATATTTCTAAAATAATTGATTGTCTTCGTCTCTAATAATTATTAAGATGTTGGCTGCTATCTAAATGTAGACATTTCAACTAATTATATTTTTATGTCAAGAATGAATATAGTAAATTAAATTTAGACAATAATCTTAAAATATTAAATTTAAATTCATAAATTAATAATTAGATATAAAATTATATTTAAAATAAAAAGGATATGTATGATAATAATAATAATAATTGAAGTTGACGTATTTGCATACAGTCATAGGTAACGTGGGCTCGTTTGTCTGGTATAAACTTGTTCATAGATTTTTAATATGTTTTGTCGCCAAAACATTAAATTATTTGGTCTAAATTCTATCTCTATTCGATAATGTTTTGCTTTGATCCACACCATAGATTGCTTTGTTATTCATCATTGATTCTTCCCAATACTTACCGGATAACTGGATAAGGTTTACACCACTGAAAATCTTTTGCTATTAAAGACTAATACAATAACGAAATAATGTTTTTTTTTAATATTTATATAATTAAACTTAAATAAAATTATTATTAAATAATAAGTTATTGTTTCAGGTTGAATATCCAATAGATGTTTCGTATACACCAGACGAGAGATTCAAACGATGGACATACACGACTTACAATTTCACCATTGCTTACTTTTGGACTCCACATCTGGTGAAATCAGAAGAAAGGGAGGACAACCGCGGTCCTACGCAGACAGGACTTTTTAATCTCTATCTCGACGAATTCGACGAACGGTGGACGACCCAGATCGAAGAATTCGACTACTTAATCATCTCCGGAGGCCATTGGTTTTATCGTCCATCGGTTTTCTACGAAAATCATCGGATTGTGGGTTGCCATTTTTGTCTTCTTGAAAATGTCACGGACTTAACCAAGTTTTATGGGTACCGAAAGGCTTTCAGGACTGCTTTTAAAGCTATTAATAGCTTGGAGAACTTCAAAGGCATAACAATTTTAAGAACATTCGCACCACCACACTTCGAGAATGGATTGTGGAACCGAGGTGGGAATTGCGTGAGAACGAAGCCGTTCCGAAGCAACGAGACTGCATTGGATGGTGATAACATGGAGTTTTATATGATTCAAATCGAGGAATTCAAAACTGCCGAAAGAGATGGGAAAAAGAAAGGAAAGAAATATCGGTTAATGGATACGACACAAGCGTCGTTGTTGCGACCGGACGGTCATCCGAGCCGATACGGACATTGGGCTCATGAAAACGTGACATTGTACAACGATTGTGTGCACTGGTGCTTGCCTGGTCCGATTGATACTTGGAACGATTTCTTGCTTCAAATGTTGAAGATGGAAGGATTAAGGTCACATAAGGAGATGCTTTTGTCAGGTGACAGAAGAATGAGATTCTAATAAATATTTCAAGTTTGTTTTGCCTTTTTATGTTATTATTTGTTTCTAATTGTTTATTGTATGATTAGTACTTTGGTTAATTGCACTTTTACGCTTATCTTATTGATAATTTATGTAAGTTCGAATGAAATTTGAGTAAGAACGATTAAAATTTCTAACAGTGAAGATGGGAGGATCTTGTTCATTTACAAGTGTCAAGATTCAAGTCTTGATTGATTGGTTGAACCAAATGGATGAAGAAATTATATTTGTTGCAAAATCCCAAACCTTTCCCGTATTGTTTGATGGGTCTAAGATGACACATTGGACCACAAAAACGAACACCAAAATTCAATCCTTTAAAAATTTCATCAAATATATACAATATTTTCAAAACATTCATACAAAATAAAATTGATGCGTAAACTTAGAGTTACAAATTGAATACAAGTAAGGTCCTATAAATACATATTCACACTAAAGAATCAAGTATTATACTCTAAATTGATGGCACTAGAGGTCTCTTGCTGACGGTGCTCCTCGAATACAAACATGAATATACTAACTTGCAAACATAACCAATCTGAATGTTGAGCTTCACAAGCTCAATGGTACACATCATCTCTATTATATTTCATGTAATTCATAAATATAAATATGTTAGTCAAACATAAATATAGAGACATGACAAAAATATTTTAATTAACTTATTCATTAGAGTTTATTAAGTTATTAATCATGAACGGAGGGTAACTACAAAGGCTTGTTTTCTCATAACCAAACTCATACAAATAGATTTCATGAATGGTATCATATTTCCCATATTCAAATTACTCCCTTAGAGTATATATGAACCTACTGATGTCAAGCAAAAGAATAACATATTAAACAAAATTGCACGTGTGCTTAGATAGTATGAGATATTTGGATAGTTCATACGTCACAAACGATCGCTGATCACATAACATGTGTATTCATACGCATCATCATTTTAAAGTATATTATCTGATTACTTTAGATAGTATATGTGTTCACATGATCTTAATTTGTATTCGGTTGATGGACATTGTTAAAGGATTTCCTTTCCCGTGTATGAGGTTCTTTTACTTTTTTGTATATTCTCAATGCAAATTAGTGACGTGGAGTTTTGCTATGGGATGTTGTTGTCTTGTTATGTGATGATAGTGTTTTTGTCACGGGTGGGACTTGGAATATTGTTGATGTTTCTTTTGGAGTGTGCCCAGATGCTTCGATTAGAAGTAAGACACTCAATCGGCCGTATGAAATTTATTTTTGTTCGACTAAAATTATCTTTTGAGATCTTAGATCCAAGTATTTTATTTGTAGCAGATGATGAAAGTTCATTCTCGATTATTCAAAAAATGATAGGTTTATTTCCAAAGTTTGGATTTCAATTTTTTTCTTTTGTATTTGAGAAATGATATTTTTTTTATTTCTGGTTCAATGCAATTTTTGAACTTTATAGAAAGTTTTCTTATTGGTATGGTTAAAGGAAATTCAATTATTAAAGAACAAAAAACCAAAAGAGATTTTGGTCATATATTAAGACTATGGCCTACTAGAAACTTATGGCAAGATTTATAGATTATTTGCACTCTAAAGATAGTAGAAAAAGAAAAGAAAAATAATTAACAATATGGGGTTGTTGATGGCCAAAACGCAAAAACCCAAAGAAAGAACATCAGGATTCTTTCATTGGTGACAAGCAATTCATAATTATGATTTGACAAATTCGTGTTTAAATCATTGTCACCAATTTCCTGATGGACTGTTTTTTTTTTCTTTTTGAATTGTTGATGTACTGTCTTTATTTATTCATATAATCAAAAAAAATTCTTGCTTTTTCAGGCGTCCCTACCATGAATTTCCGTGCTATTCAGTCTCCCAATGGAAATACCTCTCCACAAAACACTTCCAATGAATTTAATTAGTTTATTCAATTTTATAATCAAACAACTTGTATTATATTAGTCATGAATGGTTTTATTTTTTATGTATCTTGTATACATCTGTTTTGTTCGGGTTTTATTCGTTTATTATTATTATTATTATTATTATTATTATTATTATTATATTTGTTGAAAATATTTTGATGTTTTGATATAATAAATTAAGTTAAATGAATTTTAAGATTTTACAAAAGGTTTTCTAAAGTATATTCGAATATCAAAATATTACTCTAAGTCTTTCAAAATTCTTTTTAATCCTTACTAAAGTGTAAATATATGTTAAACAAATTTACAAAGTATTTCGAGCCTTAATCGAGTCAAAAATCATTTCTTAATTAAAATCAAACCAAAATGGGCAGATTGCCCAGAGGGAACCGATTCCCCCCCTGAATGGTTTGGCTCCAAGAAATAATAGAATGCTCAGAGGGAACCGATTCCCCCAAGGGGATACCGATTACCCCCTGTTCAACGATCGAAATATTTGAATTTTACACTAAGGGAATCGATTCCCTATGAGGGGGTACCGATTCCCCCCATGCTCCAAGCAGTTTTATTAATTGTTTTCACACTTAAACGACTCCATTGACTCCACTAAATATCCCCAACGTTCAGAATCAATTGAAGGAGTATTTAAACAAGCTTAGAAGCCATTGATCAACAACAAGAAATAACAATCAATAAGAATTAAGAGAGAATCAAAAAGAAAGCATCAAACCTCAAGTTTGAGCACATTCAAGCTTATTTCATTCAATATTCATTTTTGCTTTCAAGAACACTTATTGTGCTCAATTGTATTATTCTTGAGTGTTCTTTCTGTTAGAGTATGCTCAAAGACCAATCATATGATGATTGTAATAATAATTTTATTCACCGATTTTATTGAATAAAGGCATTGCCGCTATTATTTTCATATATGTGTTTAACATAAATTGGAAGATAATAAAATCCATATAATGACATAATTGTTATTATTAAAAGATCCCTAGTCAAGTATTATTATGGGCATGGACAATAATAATACGCTTAAGACTAACATGTTATTGATTGATGACAATGAGTTGTCATTGACATAGAGATGTCAGAATTGATACATGATTATATTGTTAGAGAACAATGTATTGGATGACCGACCATGAGCATATGTCTTGGATTATTATGTGACAGTCATAACATTGCTCATGGTGATGACTATATGATCCTCAGACTTGAGATCAATATTATCCCAACATATATTGTTGTCTGTTTTGATGCAGCTAAACAAGCTCCGTAACTGGTTGCTCTATAAAGACTGTTATTGAATATATCTCAATATGTAGTGGGTGTGTATGATTAAGATAGGATTTGTCATTCCTACATAATAGGAAATATATACATGCCACTTGATTGAGTAAGACTAGAAATGCATGGCCATGCTCGATAAGTTGATATGAGATATCATAAACTATTCGTTAATTAAAGTCTCTATATAACAAGAAACAATAGATGGGCTATACAAGTGTGACTATTCCAAGACTTGTGCCTATTCTAGATATAAAGGACATAAGGATGTAACATAAAAGAGTAATCACCAAGATGAATGTTGAATCATATTTTCTTGTAACTTAGGTGACAATGATATATTGCTAGATGTCACTCATTGTATGTAATATTAGAATTGTTCTAATAATTACTGCTAACGTTACAAGAACCTACAAGGTCACACCCTAGGATTGAAACGAGCAAAGATGTACAATTTGTTGTACGTTACTAAAATATATGTTTTTAATAATCCCGAATATTTAATTTCAATTAATTAATTAAATATAGATTTAATTAATTTGAAATAATAAAATCCCCAATATGATTAGGTACTTGGATATAAGAGGATTATTAAATTTCAATTAATTAAATATAGATTTAATTAATTTGAAATAATAAAACCCTAATATGATTAGGGTAACTTGGCTATAAAAGGGTGTGTTAGGTCTAGCAGCCGTTTTTGCAAAAAAACACACAAACCCTTCAGCCATTTTCTCTCAAAATAGTTTTGGGGAAAACAAATATTGCTCTCAATCGGGTGAACTGAGTAGAGGCCGAGACGTGATTTCGTGGAGGCTTTCAATTCGAATCGATCTACACCACCGTATTCACTGATGTTCTTGCTGTTTTCAAGGAACCCACTGTAAGTATTCGTATCTCTTCCTCCCGATTTCGGTTTTTCGTACTTGGATCGCTAGGGAGACCGTCGAGTTTTGTTTCCGCTGCGCCATGAGGTGCGCCGAAGGTCCCAACAGTGGCATCAGAGCCACTTGTACGATCTGATTTTGGGTTAAATTTTTGGTTGATGCGATATGTATGAGATGCATGTTCTAGTTTTATCAATTTCGGTAAATATGTTGATATCATTGTTCAAATCGATACCCGCAACGATTAATATGTTAATTTGTTAATATGTTTTTCAATCGATTTGTTATTGGATGATCTATGGGAGTGCTATAGCAAATCTCGTTTAGCAGTGGAACAATGGTTGTTCCGATGCAGAAAACCTTCGGGATTGAAAATCCAAAAGAACGATTATGTTGATAATTGTTATCAAATCGTGAAATTTTTCCATGGAAACAGAAGTACTGTTTTTCAAAAAAAAAATCCTACCGAGCAATTCACAATGGTTTATTTTGAAATACGGTCTGCGAGCCGTGCCTTTCTATATCTCTGTTGTATTTCTTTTCATCTTCCCTCGTATGTAAAGAGTTCTTTAAAATTGTAAATCTATGAAGATTCACAGGGAGCATAAGAATGGTGAGAACATGCCTAGAGAGCAGTCTTAGGCTTTAGGGTTCTTGGTTCTCCCATTGGCTTGGGATGGGCTACATTAGTCATTGGTTTGGGCTATAACCATTGCATCTTATTTATTGCTATATTTGTTATGTATGCAATGCATCAAATGATATAATAAGAATAAATATTGATGAGATCAATAAGGGCCTAATATTAAAACGAACAATGATGAGATAATTACGCAAATCCCTCTTTATAATCTAAGTTAACTTAACCGTCCAATATTTACCCTCGTTAAGGCTTTGATCGATATGGTATGGGCTTTTCCAAAGCATTGGCACATAAATCTATCTTGGTTAAACGCGAAGAATAAGCAAGTGATATTCACCGGTTGAAATATTGGTAATAACTTAGCTAGGTTATTCTAATAGGA